TGCAGCCTCGGGGCCGGGGAGGGCCCATGGTCCGGCCGGGCGTGAGCCATAGTAGGGGCGTTGTGGGAGGACGTGAGACCACGCCTGGGCCACCCCGGGGACTTCCCCGAGGCGAGCGGGGCACCCTGCGCGGGGAGTTGGCCTAATTCGGGGAGACTCCGTCCCAGCCTATGTGGAGCTGCGGGCCCGGGGAACTTGCGGTCTTTGTCTGGCTGAATCGTCAGAAAACGCGAATGGGAACTTGTGAGGTGCCAACGCTGAACCCCCAAAGTGTGCCTTCTGCTTCCCGGGTGCCTGCTTGCTTAGTATTTCTGGCCTGTAGCTTGGGTGGCCTGGGTAGTTTGAGCTCCTCATGTCGGGATCCTTACTTCGTTTTGGTTCCACTCTTCTCGTGATGTCCTTAAGGAGAGAGAGAAAGGTAGAAAAAAAGGATAATTTAAGATAGCTAAAAATAACCTAAGGAGCCCTGCCAGAGAGCAGCGAATCCCCAAATCCTGTTATTCCCACTCTCGGAAGTTGGTATCATATGTTGGCCACAATCTGGTTCGGATTCGGCTCAGAAATAGCAAGGAATAGGAGGGACATGGTGAAAGTTGGTTTCTCTTTCCTCGGTAAACTTTGTTTTACTTTCTAATCAAATTCACCGGCAAAGCCGGGCTGGTGGCTGTTCCCTGTTGTTTGACCATTAAGGATCTGTTTAGCTTTGCCCTTATATTTTCACCTGGAGAGAAAGGGAAGCCTCTCTCCGGAGCACACAGTGACCCGTGTGGGTGCAGAGACCCGGGGGCTGGGGACTTAGACTCCATATCTGCCGCCAGTCGATTAAAACACTTTAAAAGGTTAGCGTGTTAGTGTTAGAAATTCCTCATTAGAAATGTTAACTTACAGGGCTGAGGATTTAGCTCAGTGGTGACCCCGCCTGCCTCCTTGCAAGCGCAGGGACCTGAGTTCGATCCCCAGTACCCCCCCCCCAAAAAAAAAGAAGAAGAAAGAAAAGACGTGACAGTATTAAGTGGTTCTGAGAATTATGAAAGCTTTTTGCAAATAGGGGATTAAGTTGAGGAACCCAATTCCGAATGAAGCTCAGTTCACTCACAGCTTGTAGGAAAGGTTCCCCGCGGGTGGGTGGTGTTTGTGTTTTCTGCAGCCTGCACTACTTAAGTGGTGAACAGAATCTCAGAATACAGCTAAATGTTATTAGTGAAATTACTTAATCCTCTAGCAATGGTTGTGGCCGTGTTAATAGCTCCTGACCACCAGAACTCACAAAACAAACTCATGGGCAGGACCACCTTTTATGTGGAATCCCTGAGCCGTGGAGAAGTAACTCACCCAAGTTTTGCAGCTGAGGGTGCCCCAACGCAGGGTGACCCTGGTGCAGATGTTCCAGACACCGAAAACCTGTGCCTCCCCTCTTATAACTGGCCTGCTGCTGGCTGTGGCACCTTGCTCTGGGAAGACCCTTCCAGGCATCTGAGATAGCCGTTGAGTTTGCAAAACCTGCCAACAATCATAGGCCTCTCTTCCCTGTTCTGGGTAGCAGCAATGGCCTCCAGAGATAGACTGCTGAGTTTAGATAAACCCTGCCACCTAGTGCCGTACTTGCAGAATTCCTCAGTGCTTCAGTTTCCCATCTGTAAAGTGGGAACAGTACTCCCTACCTCAAAGGCTGTTGCATGAATTATGGAAAGCCCTGAGTGCCTGGCACATGGTAAGTGCTTGTTACCATTTTTAATTAATGTGAATGGCCATCATTTGGATTTTTCCCATTTAGCTAGAGTGGTAAAACATTGTGGTTTTTGTTGTTGTTGTCATCGTTGTTGTTTCAGTGCTGGGGATTGAACCTAGGGGCTTCACACTGAGCTACATCCCCAGCCCTTTTTTAATTTTTAATTTTGAGACAGGGTCTCACTAAGTCACTGTGTTACCCAGGCTGGGCTTGAACTTACTTCATTTGATGGAAAGCTGATCTTAAGCAGATGTGGAATTCAGCATTGGGTCTGTTTACCACTTTTTCTTGATAATGTGATTGGAGCCTGGGTCCCTGCAGACTGTTCCGGGACAGGGCTGGACCAACATAGATCTGTATGTTTTTGCATTGTGTCTGGGACCAGGATTTTTTCCTCCGGCATGATTCTGCTTTGTCTAAGCAAATCAGCTGTGTTGGTTTTGGAGGTGTTGTCAGTACGGGTTTCAAACCCAGTTTTGTTTTGTTCATCAGTTTCTACTCTGGCAGCAACAGGGAGACTGCAGGTCTTCAGCCTGGGCCTATCAGATGTTCGTGTCTTCTACATGGCTGTGTATGTTTCTTACCTTTGGGGCTTTTTCCTTCCTGGGTCCCATATCCGAGCTCATGTCTGAGGTTAGTTTCTTCTCTCTGGCCTAACTTCATTGGCTCTTTAGGGGAAAACAGGATGTTTGTATTTGCAGCCAAGGGCCAAAGAGCAGATGGTCTCTCCCTGGAAGCACAGGCTTTGGGGTTTACCAGGGAGTGAATGGTAATCAGAGTGACAGCTGGACAGTTGGAAGAGGAAAGTCTCCTCTGGGTGGGACCCAGCCTCCTCTCCTTGACTGCCTGGCCCTGTACCAAAGGTCCTTTCCGCTGTGGGCCTTGGCCCACAGACCTTGCTTGTATCAGTCTTCAGCCCCTTCATGTTCAGGGCCAGCTGCCTGCCCGTCCTCTCCCTGTGTGGGGCTTCGTCCCCTGTGCATCCTGTGTGGCAAATGTGTTTCTCTTCTACATCAAAGTGCGATTGAGAGGACGAGACATGTTGGCCCCAGGGCCTTATCCAAATCCTGGGACTTAGGGGGACCCAGCACTGCCAGACCACGTGGCCCCAGGACCGAGGTCCTGATCTGGTGACCGCAGAAGTAATAGCTCCCCTTGACCTGCAAGGCCAGGTTCCCCAGAGACAGTGGTGCATCATTTGGAGGAAGGGCAGCAGGAGGGCGGAAGGAGCCCAGGCCTCTTCCAGGTGCGTCCCTTCCCGGCAGATGCCCAGCGGGAGGGAAAGGACCCTTGTGTTCTTGTGTCTGCTGTGCTCCGTTGAGCCAGGTGTTGCCTCACCCTGCTGGTTTTCCAGGACAAAGCAGACGATTGCAGTCTGCTGGCTCTGCATGGAGGTACACCCTGAGCAGTCAAGGACAAAGCCATTGAATAATCAGCAGTGGGTGTCATGCCCTGACTTATGCGCCACCTGCCTCTGCCCTGTTGCAGTGAGCAGTGGTCACCAGTGTGCTCATTTGTTGGAGCAGCTGTAGGAAATTGATACACTTGGGGCAGGAAAGCTTTTGAAACAGGCCAGAGCCAAGGACCTTTGCCCCAAGCTCTGTTTCCAGCCCCGTTTCTGTTTCTTTTAAGTTGCCCAGGCTGGGCCTGAATTTTTGATCCTCCTGCCTCAGCCTCCCAGAGTGCTGGCATTATAATTCTGTGCCACCACACCTGCTTATCCCCAGCACCCTGTCCCTTTTTCTTTTCCTCCATTAAGTTTATTGGTTCTTTTTAGGTATACAGTACAGTTACACTCATCATGGGGATCTCGTGCCTTCACATGACGTATCTTGGTTCTTATGTTTTCTCCATTCCCCTGCCCTCCCTTCACCCCCTTCACCTTCCCTATTTACAAGACTTTGTTTCCATTTTTTCCTTTTCTCGTATTTTTTCTTTTCCCTTCTTTCCTTTCCCCTACCCTTCCCACTTCCCCTACTCCTTTAGACCTTTTCTTCCTATTTCACATTATCAATTATACAGTTTGAATTTACACCTTTAGTTTTTCACACCAGAGAAACTATTCGGTATTCACATGTGTCTTATTTATTTCAGTTAAGAGTATGGCCTCAATGTGTATCTATTTAGCTATAAATGTCTCTAGTTTCTCGTTCTTTATGGCTGAGTAGTACTCCATTTTATAGAAAAAACACATCCTTATTCAGTCTCCAGTTGGTGGGCAACTGGGCTGTTTCTAAGTTTTAGCTATTACAAATTATGCTGCTATAAACATAGGTGCGCATACCTCTCTGGTATGATTCTTTTAATTCTTTTGGGAAGATACCCAGCAGAGGGATGGCTGGGTCAGATGGGACCTCTAGCCCCAGATCTTTGAGGTATCTCCATATTGATTTCCACAGTGGTTGCACCAGTCTGCACTCCCACCAACAATGGAGAAGGGTTCCTTTCTCCCCACAACCCTGCCAACATTTGTTATCTTGATAGCAGCCATTCTTTCTGGGGTGAGATGGAAACTCAGTGTTGTTTTCTTCTGCATCACTCGAATGACCAGTGGTGTT